TACAATAATCTTATAATCGATTTTTTATAAATTCCTGTTTGCGTATTAAAGCTAGAAGTAAAATTAAAAAAAAAAAAAACACTCAAAATCGAGCTTCAAAATGTCAGCATCATTTAAAGGTAGATGCAGTTAAAATTTTGAAAAATGATACATAAGGGGCGTAGTCCCCATTTTGTTGGCTTCTAGTTTTACTTTGACACGAAGACCGTGGTTCGCCCATATATGGGCAATATTGCCAATTTTTTAACATAGCTGAAGCGGAGGTTCACCCCTTTATAACTCGGGAATTACTTAAGTATAGGAAAAAAAGTGAATAGTTTTGGGTAAATTGATCTGTCGTTGCAAACTGTTCATGATATTGACCTCCAAACTTTATTTTGGTGGAAGCTGTGTCTACTTTAATGTAAAAAAATATGTAAAAACAAGTTGAGGCGAACCAGTTTTTTTATGTTCTCTATCGATTTGTGACTAAGCCACTCATTGCACGGTCTTCGTGTCAAAATAAAACTAAAAGCCAACAAAATGGGGACTACGCCCCTTATGTCTCATTTTTCAAAATTTTAACTGCATCTACCTTTAAATGATGCTGACATTTTGAAGCTCGATTTTGAGTGTTTTTTTAATTTTACTTCTAGCTTTAATACGCAAACAGGAATTTCTAAAAATCGATTATAAGATTATTGTAGTCGCGAATCTGCGTAATTTGATATGTATTTTGTGTATGTAATATGCACAGCTTCAGAGTAATACTCATCCGAATGTGCGAATTTTGTGCGATCAAATTTCTTAAAAACCTATTTTTCGGGCCAAATTTTTAGATCTGTCAACTGAATGATATGGGTACCCGCGATCAATAAGGTTTTTTACGTTTCGGATGATATAAAATCTTCTTCGTGAAAATCCATCTACTAGAACGGCGGGAACTGGCCTTCCAAAAACACGAAATTTGGCAAAAAATGTTTTTGAAAATATCGCGGATTTATTTGCGTTTTCTGTGTATCATTTCCGCTTCAATAAATGACCTCATACGGATTTTGATCTTTTTCGAGAAGACAACTTTAAAAACTTCAGCCGAAAGAGAGATGTACGCAATTTATCTCAAAAATAGATTTTGCTGGCACATCCATGGTTCTTAATGGACCACATTGAAATCGGTATAGATCGATGTATTTTTTTAGGGTGCACACCGAAATCGGATGCGCGTTAATGGCATATGGAGTTTTCGGAAATTATTCGCGTTTTACGATTTTTTGGGTACTTCAATGTAACGTGCGGCACATCTTAGCCGTCAAATGAAATTTCGCAAAATATATATGGATTGGAAGATAAACTTCAGTACTTCCTGGAAACCGCATGCGCATCAAATGATTTTGAGAATTACGCGATTTAGACGCAATTTATCTCAAAAATAGTGTGAGCTGGCACATACATGGTTCTTAATGGACCACATTGAAATCGGTATAGATCGATGTATTTTTTTAGGGTGCACACCAAAATCGGATGCGTGTTAATGGCATATGGAGTTTTCGGAAATTATTCGCGTTTTACGATTTTTTTGGGTACTTCAATGCAACGTGTGGCACATCTTAGCCGTCAAATGAAATTTCGCAAAATATATATGGATTGGAAGATAAACTTCAGTATTTCCTGAAAACCGCATGCGCATCAAATGATTTTGAGAATTACGCGATTTAGACGCAATTTAAAATGTATATTTCATAATATTATATTATTTTTAGATTTATTCCTATTTATAGAACCCCAAGATTTATCGGAAGGGTCTTGCTACAATCCACAAGGTGTATACTTATACACCAAATGTGATTATTTTTAAATATGTCAATTTTTCGGCGAAATTTGGGTAAAATAGCAGAATAACCCCAAATTTTTTTCTGAAATTTCTTGTATAAAATTAAAAAATAAATATGATGACATTATTTTTTCGAACCAAAAACAAATATTTTTCCTCAATATCTTGATTTGTTGTAGCTCTGATTTACAAACCGCTACACGGACTTGTCTGATTTTGATATCATTTGATTCATCATGGTGTTTAGATTATGCAGATATTTTTATATACATTTTTAGGTGTGTGTATGTCATTAATATAATGAAAATATTGACGTAATATCCTATATTTTTATCATTTTTCTCATATTTCGCGAAAATGTGCAACTTTATCGCGATTATTATAATATAGTCATATTCTTACTTTACGGAGGAAGACATATATCAACGTTTTTGGTCAATATAATAAACGGCGTAATTTTAAGATTTTTTTCTTATGCCCAAAATTAAAACCTCGATAACTTTTGCGCGCATCAACCAAAAAGTTGATCGCGAACAGTTTCGGAGTCAGAACATTTTTCTCTATATGTCTACCAAAAATCATTGATGTGCCACAAAAACAAAAAAACTGATTTTTTGAAAATGGAATATTAAAAAATTGGCAATATTGCCCATATATATATATATACTGTGTGGGGTCTCCGGTGGATATTTCGAAATGTTGCAAACGGAATGACAAATTTATGGTGGAGAGTATAAAAATATATCGATAAGATTCAAACAGGATGTAAGCACCGAAGCAGAAGCAAATGAAAGCATTTCCAAGTTATAGTCACTTAATTGCAAAATTTGGAGAAGATAACATCTTAAATACTACCAAATCATCACAAAACATGTCCCTACTTACAAGCAAAATTTCGAAATAATATTGCCGTTGAAAGGATGAGAAACTTTATTAAATTTTATTGAAAAAAATAATTTTCATCATTTTTGTGGGAGGTACTAGAAGAAGAAATGTTGCGATGTACAAAGTTTGGATGTAATCGGTTACTGTCTGCACCAGCGAGCCAGACCCACAGACAGACGAAAACCAATATTTCGATGAGGGGCATTTTTGTCGTAGCAAAATATGATTTAGAATTACAGCCATAAGACTAAGGGTATAATCACATTTATGATCTAGCAGTGCTCGAAAAACTTATATGTATGTTAGCCATCGAAAAATAATTATATACATGTTTTGAAATAATCTCTATAAACCCTATTTTTTTGTTTTTGGTTGCCCCGGCCCAAGTCTCGTATAAAATTTTGTGGTCTTCGAATGATAAATATTTTCTATAGAACGATTAAAAAACATACAAATATAATGTTTCTGGTTCACTTGATCCTATAGATGTTAAGCTATCATCATCGAAAACTATATGAGACATCCTTGAACTTCACCTATAACTTTGCATCGGCACGTGTCTTTCCAAAGTAAATGTATTTCATTTTGTAATTTATCATGTTAAAATTCACTTAATTGTGGCCTCTAGAGCGACTAGACAGAAAAATGAGGATTTTTATCACCTAACCAATCATTATCAAATTTTTCCAGAACCTAGCCTATATGCAAATTTTGGTGAAGATTGGTCAATAATAGCGGCGTTTGATCGCTTCAAAAATTGTTTTCTTGATATCAAGTCACTGGATTATAACTCAGGGGGATAATTAATCAATTCCATATTTTGGGCAGTCAAATAGGCGTTGGTTTGAGCCAATGTGTGAGAGCTTGTATACGTTTATTAAATTTCTCCGTAGACAAACAAATTTTGGTGTACCAGAATTGACCGTCCTACAAAACAGTCGACACATGACTAGTTTTAAAGCAGGCCCTCATTTGCCAGGATGTGCTTCTTCGACGAAAAATGTTCCTTGGATTTCCTCAAATACACACACGGTCGGCTTTTTCTGGGCTCCCTGTATCGTTTTTTTTAAAGCACAGCAATTTTTCTAACCAGTCGACATCGGTTTTTAGCGATTGTTAAATTGTGTCGGCTCCAACGTGAATAAACCTTTCTATGATGCAATATCGCATGTGTGCTGATGGAAGAAATATCCAAGGAAATAGGATTATCAGATTTTGCGCCACAACGTATGTTTTATTGACGGCATTAGTCTTTTATCGAGCGATTGAATTCATTATACAATTTTTCACAGCGCCTTGGTATCTCTTCACTACACAACGGTGCGCTCTTACCGTGATAATACACGGCGAATGTTGAAATAAATATTCACACGAATATGATCACCGAGTTAAGTCCAGTTATTTAGAAAATTGAATTTTCAAGTCGCGATAAACAATACAACACATGATCGTACGGCCATCAGTGCTGAGTACGTTTATGCTAGATCAAACATTACAGTGGAAATGTCAGATGGCGCCTGGAATATATATGATTACATGTTTTGTTTGGTTCATACCGTGTTCCGTATTTAAATACTAACGATTTCAATGTGTCAATGAAATATTTTATACCATGCTCTCTTTGGTGTATCCTTAAAAAATCTGCAAACCACATTTTTCCGACGGCTTTTAAAAAAAATTTTCCCAATCATTCCCCATAAAAATATAAACAAAATTGTATTTATGTTTTAAAAACTTGTTTATGTATTTTCTTTTTTTTTAATATATAAAAATTAATTTAACTTAATTTGTAAAAAAATATATTTACATAAATTTATAACTTATTTTAAGATTTTTGTTTTGTTTGTTTCTCTTTTTTAACAATAACAAAAATTTGCAACTTTTGCTAAATTAATGCTACGATTAAGATCACTTGGATGATGTTTTGTTAACACTTTTTTTTTTTCAAATTTGAAGGCTACTAAGGCGTAGTATGGTTACTTGTGAAAACCTTTTTGTTGTTTTAAAGTGCTTACAGCTGCGTATTGGCCACATCAAAACTTTGAGTATTGTCCATTATGTCTTTAACTATTCCCAGATAAAGAAGGAGTTCGAATGAGAAGAGTGGGTGTGTGAGATAGGCTGAGTTTTAAATTATCACAGTTTCCAGACCATGAGCACTCCGCCAGCCTGAGGCAATTTCTGCTCCTCAGGGCCCATGGGGCTAGGCAGCGGTTGTGAACACTTCAAGTGTGCACTTTTTGTGCTCTAATCAGGAGCATTTGGTGTATCAACCCAATGTCAATGGGTGTAGAGGTAAAAGTCCATTATCCGACGGCAAACTATGCGTTACGTTTTAAATTTTACGCTGACTGTACATGTCACCAATCAAACGAACAATGGTAATGTCACCAATAGTTTTACGGAAGAACAACTCCTCGATGGCAAAGGATGAGACCTTGTGCATTTGGGCTAATACACTCATAATGCTTTGGAAACGCATGGGCTGACCGGGATGCAAGCGGGCAATGTAGCCAATGAGAGCGTTGCGGCTTTCGTCATGTAAGGCCGAGATTTTGGCTGTTTCGATGAGACCACGAGATTCGGCCGAAATGCTGGAGTTGGGACTGCCATTGCTGGTGGTGGACAATGAGGAGTTGGCCAAATCATCAGAGCCGGGGCGACGGAACAAAGTCAAGGCACGAATGAGTTCATATTCATGGCTGTCGATATTGAGATGGCACAACTGGTTGAGAACATCTTGGAAGGCATGAACTTCACGGGTCACCAAGCCAGTAACATCACGGTTAGGGTTTTCCGATTCATAGACGAACAACAGCTGGGTGAAGTTCATGGGCATGAGGTATTGAGCCATGGCCAAGATGAAGAATTCCTTCCAGGAGTCTTCCAACAATTGCAATTGATCGGGCAAAGGCAATTCACCGAACGAGGGCACATTCTTAATCCAGTTGATGTTCTTGAAGAGGTGTTCGGCGGCGGTTTCCTTGATGTGTTCAGCAGCCATTAGTGGTGGTGTTGGTGGGAGGACACGGGTGGCAGCCAAGGCATTCATGTAGGCGGCAGTGGGTGCAAAGAAGGTGGGGTGGGCTTGATGCATGGGGTGCTGGGGTACACGGGGTACAGATAAATCCAAAACGGAGGGTGGAGGGGGGAAGGCACCAGCCAAACTGGGATGCATTTGATGATGTCCGGGAATTGGCATGGGCAAGCCAGGGAAACCGGTCAAGGCGGCGGTGTTCATGAGGATTTCAGCGGGAATCTGAGGCATTTCAGAACCACCCATCATGGCGTCTTTGTACATGGCCATGTGGCGGCGCAAGGTGGAGTTGCGGGGTCCACGTTCATGTTGGACGGCATCTTTGTTCATGCCAACTTCGAAGCATTTGCGCAAGCGACAGGCACGGCACTGATTGCGGTGCGTTTTGTCAACCACACAGAGGCCTTGTTTTTGGGATTTGCAGACATATTGGCGGGAACGGCGAATGGAACGCTTGAAGAAGCCAGCACAGCCATCACAGGCATAGATGCCATAATGTTTGCCGGAGCTGTGGTCACGGCAAACTTTGCAAGGCACATGATAAAGGATGCGACCTAAAATAGAAAAAAGAGAAAAATTGGTAATTAGTAATTTGTTCAATGATTAAAGAGATGATAAAATTCGAAGAAATTTATTGCAGGAATCAATAGAAAACTTTGGGTAATCCTTTGGGCAAAGTAGTTCCATTTTCATCCTTGCTGGTAATTCCTTTTTTGTGTTGATTGTGAATCGTTTGTTCATCGAATACTTACTTGAGGCAGCTGGTGATAATCTGACGGAGTTGTATTTTTGATCCATGATATCGGGAGATCCAGATTCAGTGGTTTGCATTTTGTTGTTTGTTATTGTAAAGTAATCCTTGGGTGTAGTTATAAAAATTGATAGTTGTTGTGCGTCGTTTTGATTAACAAATTATTGATTTTTTGTAATTGTAAAATTTGTTTGCTATATTTTTTAGTGTTCTCAGCTCTGTTTGAGTTGTGTTCACTGTTTGAGATCCAAATGGTTTGTGTTGCTAATTCACCACCATCCTCGTCCTTTAATAGTCCTGACACAAAATTTGCACTCTACCATTCATAGCAACCAACCACTGTTGCGATCATCCCCGTTTACCTAACCTACGCCCGTTCATTGGTTACACACACATGTACATCAGGCTAGTGTGTTCTCTTTCACTCTCCCGTTATCCTTACGGGGACGTACAATCCCGAAAGAGCAACACACACATGCAGATCTTTTTGGCCTGTGCATTTGCAGAGGTTTTCATTCAGTGCCGCTGCTGTAGATGATTTTATGACATCTCTTTTATGGTGGTTTACCTGTGTGCTCGCTGCTCTCATTTCGATAGAAAGAAATTTTATGAACGAATTTTGTGTGCCTGTGTGTTAAAGGGTGGTGAGTTGTTTTATTGCTTGTGTGTGTGCTGATGATGATGAACTGGACCATTGTTAATATCGGCTGAGCATTGTGTTTTTGTTGTTGTCTTGTTACCTGTTTTTCTCCGTCGCTCTGCTCTAGTTGTTCTACTAACGTTTTAATTTTTCCTAATGATGTTTTCTATACATTAATTGCTCTCTTATTTTTTTGCATTCATTGTCAAGAGGAATGCAGTTTTTTTACTTGGAATTAATTGCAGCGTTGGCTGCTTGATATGTCTTTGGGAATTTCTTGTGTTGAAAATTCAGTTTCTTTATTTTGGGATAATCCCCTCAACTATTGAAAATATCAAATATTTGAATTCTTTTTATTTTTTTTGTAGATGTTGTCGGTTTTTATACCCTACACAACTATGTTGTCAGGGTATTATAGCTTTGTGCAGCCCCAAATGTTTGTAACGCCGCGAAATATTGGTCCTATTTAAGCATTTTATCTCGACTAGCTGAGTCGATCTAGACATGTGTGTCCGTCCGTCCGTCCGTCCGTCCGTCTGTCCATTATAATTTGTAAACACGATACAGGCCACAGTTATGGACCAATCTTCACGAAATTTTGCATGTAGGATGGGTTCTGGCCAATGAAGACCCCTATTGTTTTTGGAAAATATCGGTTAATATTTAGGGGATGAAATGGACCAAATACTAAATTTTTGTCGGTTTTTCTGGTCGCTCCAGAGGCCGCAATTATGGCCCAAACACCGCGAATTTTTGCATGGAGAAGGGGATCGGGCCAGAATAAGCATGCATGTTTTGATAAAGATCGGTCAATATTTAGCGGGTCAAATGGACCCTGACTTTTGTGTGAAAAATGACAAAATTTGTATTCTATGTCATATATATTTACTCCTGGAGGATGTAGACCCCAGGAGTTGATAGCATATCCAAGAGGAGTGGTTTTCCTTTAAATTGATACCAAATATAGTGATGTGTCTACTCAGATGTGGGAGTTACAGTCAAATATTTACAGGTGCTTACGTATTCAGATATTATTTAGTAACCCATTACCACATTAGAGGGAGAAATATCGCGCTGATGGCTTTGAAATTTTTCATGAAGTTCCAGTTATGGTCAAGAACAACGCCTACAATTTTCGGTGATGATCAGATTAAAATTTTGGGATGAAATGGACCGAAAACATAATTTTTTGTGTGTTTTCGAGTAGAGTATAATCCGAAAATCAAAACACAACCTACCGTGAAGGTAATCTGGACAAGTAAATAGAAGGATTGTACTGAATATTCGAAAAAAGTAAGGAAGAGGTGTTGTTAACCTCTAATCGGACAAGAGGGGGCAAATATCACGAAATATTACTCAGACTCGGAATAAACATCCTCAGAAAGTTAGAGTTCGTGGTAGTTGTGTAGGGTATCGCATGGTCGGCCCCGTCCGACTATACTGCTCCGCTCACTGGTTTATTTTAGGAAAGCGTGTTAATGTAATTATTGGAATTAAAATAACAAATGCATTTTGTATGTGAAATTCGAAAAATATAAAACAATATCATATAAGATCTATGGACAGATTACTCTGAATTAGTATCTTATAATACAATATAAAAATGGTTACATTTAAAGTAAATTTTGATGTAGCTATTTGAAGATATTTGTGGTTTTCATACATCGCTTATGGCTAAAATTAAAAAAATCTTTTTTTTCTTATAATTGTATTATATTGTAAGATTTTAAATGAGCAGTTTATATGACATACTTAAAACATCATTTCAAATCCAATATACAATTTGTTGGTTATTTCGATTTCCAAAATTAATGAGGATGTTCTTATTTTGTGAATTTGGTATTAAGTTCTGATGAAGAAATGTGGTAAAAAGTTAAAATTTTTATGACAATAATTAAATGACATTCCAGTGAATTACTTCTAAAATAATTTAAATTATAACGATGTCACTTGGGGAGAAATGAAGATGTTACAATTCGAATACAGTGTGTGAATAAAAATATAAATACCGCCGGATGATAATCGCCGAAGACGAGCGAAATATCGGAAATAAAATAAAAACATATTAAATACAGCAAAATTAAAATATCTGTATAAACTTAATAAAATATGTTTAGAATAATAATTATTTCAAATTAAAGATCTAGATCTAATCATCTAGCTCTGCCAGGAACTTCAAACATCTTGTACTAAGGCGATATCGTTATATACGAACTATGTATAGTATGCTTTTATTGAATTGAAGGATATTTTCTGAATGCTAAATGTTCAAAATTACAGATAAATCTTTTCTTATCGGCACCATTTATAAATCGAGCCATTTATCGGGATTTCAACAGATTGACGGAAAAGAATGATTTTTGTTTAGCGGATCCGTAAATGGCTTCATGAACAACATTCCAAACAAACAGCTAAGAAAACTGACGACATAAGAGGATCTCTCATTCTCAGTTTCAAACCAGTAGGGAATGCAGTAATGTCGGGCTGGGCCGATTATATGATACCCTTCACCACTTTGGGTATATTTTACATATGTATCCTATCAATTTCCTTCGAGGGAACATTGACAGGAAATTGAACGTATTTAAATATGTGATATTTATCTCTAAGTGAACCAACTATCACAAATCAATACACATGACGAATGAAATTTCATTTCAATGGAACCAATTTATGTAAATCGTTTTATAGAGAACTTGATACACGCTATTCGGTATGCCGCTATCAGACACCCGTTCGAAATGTATATGGAAATAAAGAAAACTGATAAAGGAAACTGATTTCGACGAAACTTGCCAAATATTAATATATTTCACATTGTACAAAATTGTGTGGCAATCGGACAAACTTTGTGTACAATTTACATAAAATAGGAAGAAAATATTTTGAAGAGACTAAGCACACATCAGTACGCTATGCCAAATTTCGTGCAAATCGAAAAAAAACATAGGAGCTTTGGTGCACTATTTACTTAAAATCATATGAAAATATATATGTGGGGTATATTTAAAACTGAAACAAATTTTATGAAACTAAACATACATCATTCTAGGATTCTGTTTATGACACTCTAAACGCGTTTTTCTCGAAACTTCGTTCTTGCGAATGGCGGGCAGTATAACACAAAAACTGAAAATCTAATCCGTTCCAAATTTTATCAAATCATTTTGTACATACATACTGTGTTTTTTTTTAATTTTTTTTTTTTAATTTTTTGTTCGACGTAATATTCCTAGTTCAATCCAAAGCCAGACATGTACACTATCGAATCATGCTTGCCTTCGAAAGGAAGGACTTTTCTTCAATTACAAAAACAACAAAAACAATATTATGTAAATAAATTTTTTCTCGAGGCTTCAATATAAAGAAGTTAATTTTCCAGCCGATTGAGAATCGTCGAAATTTGAAATCGAGAATGGGAGTCCCAGTTATTGTAATTGCTCAAAGCAGTTACAATAACTGGTAAGGCAGTGAATATTCTATGACAAAATCGACATTTATTCTGATCAAGAATGACAAATGTAATAAAATTGTGACACTAACATAACAAACATCTAAACCTAACACTACGACTTGATTATAAGTGGTCAATGTGAAAATTTATATGTTTCCTCTGCGAAGACGAAGATGTCTGATCTTTAATATAAAATTGTAATAAAATTTTTAAATTCATATAGATATGAATTGCGATATTATGACACGTTCGAAACTAAACTCTGTTGATAAGTACTGTTCCGTGGCAGTTTTTTGGGTTTCACATGGTCGTCCCCTTCCGGCTATACCGCTTCCCTTACTGGTTCTACAAAACTTAATACAGATCAAAATATTAATTTAGATTCAAAATTGATAATTTTAAGAAGTGCACTATGAGCCAGGAACCCAAGTTTTTGTTGGCAAAAATGTCCATTTCAACTCTGGATACTTTGAGCTTTACTCCAGTAAAATTGTTTCTCATTGTGGGTCACACAAATGACAGGAGATAAAAGACAAAATGTCATATTTCTGGAATATAAATTGAAATAAAAATCATCAAAAATTTCGCATATAAATTCATAAATATTTCTTAAAAAATGAGTTTCACCCTAGTGCCAAGCAGTGCTACAGAATATTTTAAATGCTATAATATCAATCGAAGCATCGATTTGTTCTCTGTCCAGAATTTTGCGACAGTTCATAACCTCAAAAATTGTTGCCGATAATACAATAATGGAATAAAAAAATTGCCTATTCAAATTTAAAAAAAGTAATATTGACTTTTACTATTATAGCATGTTGGTAATAAAATTTAAGATATTAGCATCACCTTCAAAATGTTAGTATTTTGAAAATTTTAATATTTTGAATTATAATTGGGTGTAAAATCTTTGTAACAAAAACTAACCATATCGACGGATCACTCGTTTCAACAAAATCGAATATTTTTCAAATTTAATTATGGTATGCAATGTTTTAAATGCTAAATTGCCTATATATCA